CAGGGTGCAAACACACGGACAGACACCCAAATAGTGGAGTGGGGGAGAGGAGGGCTCTCCCACCAACTCACATGGAACCTGACGGGTTCCTTTCGGGGGAATATGGTCTTCCAGGACGCTCCTGTCAGGTTCCGTGTTGATTGGCGGGTATATTTCAACACACACACACACACACCCGACATGAGAGAAAACATACTTGACTTGAAGAATATGCTCCGAACCTTTTTGAAGATACAACCTGCGAATGAACTGTGGTGTGATGCACCTCAGTGCTTTGAGCAAGTCTAAACACAGTTACACAAGGGATCGTCCCTCAACCCACAAGAATGCTCAGTTTTGGGATGGCCGAGTTGCGGCTGAGTTGCTGCAACAGTGAGGTCCCGATCCCCTCAAAAAGGCGGCACGACCGAGCAAACCGCTCAACTTGTTTCAATGCATGACAATGCCCACCCCCCCCCCCCCGTTTTGCGACTTGCGGGTTGGTTTCCTTTTTTGGCTTCTCTTTCACACACCACAAAATGAGACCTATTGCAGACCGATGTCATTTGACTGAGGGATTTGTGAGCTTTGTCGACTCGCAGCTGTTTGACCCCAAGGGCGCGCAACGAGGGTCGATTCGCCTCAATGGCGGCTTGGCGAGAGCATGGAACGGAGGGCGGGGATTTCTGGCGTTTCTGGAGTCTTCTCCGATATGATGTGTCTTCGTTTAATGCAAAAGGTTGAAAAGAACAAGTGAACAGGTTAAGCTATGGTGTTTGTTCAGGCTGGACAAAATCCGAGGAAGAACATAGGTGTACCCTGAGATGTATCAGAAACGTTGCAATGAGAGAAATTGGGCACCCCCCCTCCCCCCAAACCGGTACACATTCGTGCTTCCCAGGTTTCATTGGTTTCGGCTGTGCTGGGTCTTGCGATCCAGGGTTTGGGGCCGTCCTTGTTTGGGTTTCTTACATTTCCCCTTGTACCCTAAGCATCATTGGCCCCATGGAGGGGTCTGCATCTCCATTGGAAGGGTTTGGACCTCATGGCCCTTTTTGAGTTCGCATGGTTCGCCAGGGTCTTATAGGGCAACAAGGTAACTTTAGCGCCGAAGTCTGGAGGCACATTGTCGGTGACTCGGTGACTCCCGGTCTCTGAAACTGCCCTTGTTTTTCCATTTGGTCAAGGTCCAGTTTATGTTTTTGTTTGATTTTGAACGCAAAGGGGCAGGACATGTTTCGTTCGTGACATTTATTACGAAGGAATCGTAGGGGTCCGAGGGCATTCCAGCTCATTTCCAACAAGACATGTCAAAACGAGTGTGGGAACACAGCAAGATGGAGACAGAACACCAACACTTCCCGGAGTGGCTGAGCTCTGGGAATCAACTGGTCGGGTGCACCTTTTCAAGCCCCACTTAATGTCGATGGGGGCCTGTTGGGTGCGTGTTTTTGGAGCCCACCCTTTTTGCGCTTGGATTTTTCAGGGAAGCAAAAAGGAAACCAATCATTTGATGGGCCCCAGTTTTGACACATACCCAAATGTTACTACCAATTATTCAATCATAATTAATATGTTGAATTCCCCCCCCCCCTTAACAGGGACAACAGCGCGAGATGGACGTCTTTCTATGCCCCCTATTTGCCCAGTGTTTGGTGGTGTATCTTTGTTTTAAGAGGACCTGTTCCTATTTGCCACAAACGCGGCACTCCAACACGTTCACAGGTTCACAGGAAATGGCGTGCACAGTGTCACAAGGAAATACCATGAAATACTTGCCAAGTTTGCATGACAGCTGGGCACACATCAAGTATTGACCATGGCTGATTTACGGATTATGACGTGGCAAGTAAGTCAGATGTCCGGTTAGCGTCTGCACTCTTGGTTAATGCCGTGATTGCAGGGAACGGAACAGGTCGACCTCGGACAGCAGGCTTCTTGGTTCGGATATGACCCTATGCTTGTGGGACATCGTTGGTTTTAGGTTGCCAGTATCCTTGATTGTCCAAGGGGGTCACCTGGGATGGACGAAATCCTGCACCACTGGGAAACCATGGGAACCCTTTGTTTGCTGGTATTTACAGGGGAATCATCATTCCAGGATTTCTTAGGTGGTGCGGAATGGATTTCATCCATCCACAGTACTTTGGCACACACAGCCTTCCCTTTCTTGCGAGTACCAGTTTTGCGGGCAAACCAAGAGAAGCGCTGGACTTCTTTTCCGGGAAGCGAGAACTGGTTTGGCAATGAAACATCTGCGCTTGACCAGCTAAAGCGCGGGGCAAAACATCTTGGACGGGTAACAGAAGTAAACAGAAGTATCTTTTGGCAACAAACATCAACAAACAACTCACGCTTGTTGGCAAAAGCACCTTCCAGCACCTTCCAAGGGCTCTGAATTGTTCCCACCATCCCCTGCATCGATGGTCTGGGAGGAATTGCTGTGTGGTAGCATCCCTGGTTGTAACCCACCAAAGCCATGGTTGTAAGTCACCTGTGGCCAGGGTTGCCAGCCGAGGCAAGTCCCAAAGCATCTAAGTAAGAGCACTTAGCGCTCCATTTCTGTTGCGTGCCGGGCAGGGAGTTCCTCTCACCGAAGCTTCTGAGGCGCTACGCCCCCTCGCCCGCAGCGCTTGCACGGGAATTGAAGCCAACGCGGAAGGCGGCAACTGCCAAGAGAGCGGAGAGCGCTGCTGGGAGGGACTGCGATGTATTAATGCATTTTTATTTTGCATATGTATATTCCTCGCAGTTTTGTTGTGTTTGGTGCTGGTGGGTGGTGCTGGTGGTGCTGGTGGTGCTGGTGGTGGTGGTGGTGGTGCTGCTGCTGCTGCTGGTGCTGGTGCTGGTGCTGGTGCTGCTGCTGCTGCTGCTGCTGCTGGTGGTGGTGGTGGTGCTGGTGGTGGTGGTGCATACAAACTTTCATACATACATTCATGCATACGCATACATGCATACATACATTAGATAGAACATGATTACATTAATTTACTGATACACATATACATGAATACAGGAATGTCATGCATGCATGCATGCATACGCACATACCATGCCACATCATACAGTACATGCATGCGTTTATCCAAACAGGCAGACAGACATGCACACTTGCACACATACACACATACACACATACAACATACACACATAGAAACTTACACACACACAAACACACCACACAAACACACCACACAAACACACAAACACACAAACACACCAACACACAAACACACAAACACACAAACACACAAACACACAAACACACACACAAGCACACACACACACAAGCACACACACACAAGCACACACACACAAACACACACAAAAACACACAAACACACACAAACACACACACACACAAACACACAAACACACACAAACACACACAAACACACACACAAACCCACACAAACACACACACAAACACACACAAACACACACAAACACACACACACAAACACACAAACACACACAAACACACACAAACACACACACACACACAAACACACACACACAAACACACACACACACACAAGCACACACACACACAAACACACAAACACACAAACACGCAAACACACAAAAACACACAAACACACACAAACACACACAAACGCACACAAAACACACACAACCACACACAAACACACACAAACACACACACACACAAACACACACACACAAACACACACACACACACAAACACACACACAAACAAACACACACACACAAACACACACACACACACAAACACACACACAAACGCACACACAAACGCACACAAACACACACACACACAAACAAACACACAAACACACACAAACACACACAAACACACACAAACACACACACACACAAACACACACAAACACACACAAACACACACACACAAACACACACAAACACAAACACACAAACACACACACACACACAAACACACACACACACACAAACACACACACACACAAACACACACAAACGCACACAAACACACACACACACACACAAACAAACACACAAACACACAGACACACACACACACAAACACACACAAACACACACACACACACACAAACGCACACAAACACACACACACACACACACACAAACAAACACACAAACACACAGACACACACACACAAACACACAAACACACACAAACACAAACACACAAACACGCAAACACACAGACACACAAACACACAAACACACAAACACACAGACACACAGACACACAGACACACAGACACACACACACAGACACACACAGACACACACAGACACACACAGACACACAGACACACACACACACACATGCCGTACGCACATACGCACATACACGCTTACACACACACATGCCGTACGCACGCATGAATACATAGATACGTACCCAAGTGGTCGACAGGCACGGCTGCACAGCTTTCCCGGAAGCAATTGTCTCGCATTGGTTCGGGACATCCCTGCCCGTTTGAGGAGACCAAACGGAAATGGCAACTGGCCGGGTTTCCGCGTCCTGAAATGACCGGTTGCTGTTTTGTTCCAGTCTTGACCCGTGTTTAGGTCTCCTCACTTGGTGAGTTCCTGGACTTTGAGTGGTGCATAACAAGTTTGGACTTTTCTTGACCAATCCACTCAGAGAGATGCTGCATCAAGTCTTTGGACCATGCCCCCTGCGCCCTACGGGCGAACGGGTCCAAGCTCTGGTCTTCGGCCTAAAGGCGAGCAAGCGCATACCGCTTCTGGTTTCCTTCAAGGCGTGAGTATTGGCTTGGGCCCAGACTGGGTTCCCTTAGGGAGTTTCTGGTTCTCATTTTGCGAAATGCACACACTAGGTTCCAAGATATAATTACCCGCCCCACAAACTGAGCTGGGAGTTTCTGGCTATCATTTTCCGAAAGGTACCCTCCGGGTTCCAAGATCGGTGTCGCGGTTTCACCTTCCGCCCGAGCCAAAGAGATCGGACAGACCGACTTTGGGGGCCACGGACCGCGGGGTCCGCGGTCAGGTGTGAGCGAGCCATGGGGACCTGCACCAGCACGCCCCGGCTGGGCGCCAAATTCTTCTTTGGGGATCGGGGATCTTCGGCGGCCTTTGGGTTCTCTCCTGGGTCCGGTTTCGTGTGTTGGGTTTGTTGGGTTTGTTGGGTTTGTTAGGTTTGTTAGGTCTGTTAGGTTTGTTCAGTTTGGTTTTGTTGGCCTTAGGTGGGTTTCCTCGTCCAATTGTCGTTCAGGTCCCCTTTTGGGTCACACAGTTCCCCTTGAAACCTGACCAATCCAAATCCAGGGAGAAGACGACCCGGAGTTGCTTGAAATAAAGCCAGCTCACCATTTTCTTCGGGAATCACTTCTTTCAGGTTTGAAGCACGATTTTTGGATTTGCTTGCCGGATTGACATGGAAATCCAAACACCCTCGTTTCCAAATGTCAAAGGCATCTCCTTTTCCGGTGCCATGTCGGTGAGGACGGCCGTGATCGGGTCAAAGCCCCAGAGGATTATATCGTCCTGATGCAGATCTGTTCTACGTGCCATGGTCATTTGACAGCCTTGATCTTGGGGTTGGAAGTTCTGGTCATCAACTTCTTAGCCACTGGAAACGGCCTTGCTAAAAGGTCCCCATTCAGGAACCAGAACGAAATGTAGAGCATAAGTTTTGATTGCTCGTACCATGGCGTCCGAGCATGAGGAACTCTGTGCAGAGTTACGCGCTTCCCACAGAATGAACTGGCCGCATTTAGGGCCGAGCAAACGAGCAGAGGAGGACCATTTAATGTTGACCGCATAAAAAAATAAAAAAAATAAATAATAATAAAAAAAAAAAAAAACGAATCATATGGGGGTGTTCCCCTCCAAAAGTGATGAATCCCCGCTAAAACCAGGGACACCCCCATATTAATAAACACCTGCAGGACCCAATACATAAATGTTTGCTCGAGCTTTAACAAGTGCGCGAGTAATGGTAAGTGCAAACACGTGAAAACACACGGATTGCGGGGAAGAGCTTTGGCTTTGCACACTTTTGGAATTGCGCCCAAATCGCGGAAAATTGCGCCCGAGTTGCGGGAAGTTGCGTTCGTTTTCTCTCGAGCACCTCGCCAAAGCAGCTAGGCAACTTCAAAAAGTGCTCGAATTGGAAATTGAGCAGAGCAAAAAAGGCTGGAATGCCGAAAACTGTCCGGGGCACCTGTTTATGCATCGAAGGGTGCTCAGGGGAGGGGTTGACTAACATGAGGTCAACGTGACCCACTTCTCAGCGAGCAAACAAACAAAAATGCAAGTTTCGAGTCACCAGCCAGCGAAGCAATTCAACCAACCGCACGCTGTCTGGTTCGGACGCACTAGTTTAGTGGGATGCAACGGAATTTTCATTGGAAGAGTGAGGAACAGGTCACAATCGCCTTTTTTCATTTGAGGTTCCAAGATTAGGAGGGCAGAAATGCTGATCATAAATCTTTTCATCGGGTAGGTGACCATCATGGTAGGATGGAGTCTCCCACGTTTTATGTGCGGTCTTCAAGATAGTTTCCATTTGAACCAAGCCCCAAAAGGGTGTTCCAGAAAACGAGTGCTAGGACGCTCTATTGGAGTGGATTTTAGGGATCTCCATTGAAAGGGTTGGGCCTAAAATGGCCCCTGTTGAGGTCCGCAGATCCTTGGGGCCACAATGACGCTTATGACATAACGTATATACATTGTGTATATATATATACATATATATTACATACTTATACATATATACCTAGAACTTCCTGCCGGGGAAATTTCTGCCGGAACGAATCTCTAGGTATATATATATAGACGTATGTATAGATACATATTATATAATATTGTGTATATATATGTACACATGCATTTGTGTTTTGTACACAGGCAACTCTACATTCACATGGTGTCTGGGGCATGCCCGGTTTCTCGAGGCTGCACCCCACCCTCCGCGGCTTCATGGCCTCCCGCCCGGCGGACGCGCCGGGCTCCCAAAGCGGCCCGTCGCGGTGGGTCCCAACCCGTTTTGGGACATCCCATTTTTGGGGGTAGGTGAATTCACCGCCCATTTTAGGCTTCCCATTTTAGGTACACCGCCCATTTTAGGCTTCCCATTTTGGTGGGTGGATTGGTTGATGTTTACTGGGGAAAAAGAAACGATTCGGATTTTGAGCTAGAGCGCCGTTCGTTTTGATGCATTTGCTCAGGCTGGCGGCCTGAGAGGAAGGAAGGAACCGGCTTATTAGTCATATTCAAATGGGTGTGGCTCAAAATTTAGCAGGGCTTCCGCAGGTTTTGGTCTTTGTTTCCAGTTGCGGGCCATGTTGGGAGAATGTTTTTGAGCCACAGACAAATCTAGGTTCCCCAGTGCCCTTTGACGATTTTTGTTTTTTGGTTGGGAGGGTTCGGGACCCTACGAAAATAGACAAACCAGAAAAAGATCGGGTAGCAACTTATTCTAACCTCTCTAGTGGAGGACCTAGAAATATAATCTGGGGAGCTGTCTGGATATGTTTTTATCTTTACATATTTTATCGCAGGTTCCGGTTCAAGTCTTCCATAATGCCGTTCCATTTCCGATGTGGCTTCCTTGAAGGGAGTCCCAAACGGTTGGCAGGGAATGAGCAATGGACCCCGAGAGAAACCATCCACTTCCGAGTTGGTTTCCTTTATTCGGGAATCCCAAACGGCTCATTCCCAACACCCGGAAGGTCATTCCCTAGGCACCAGCAAGGGATTTGGTTCAGCACCCCGGTGAGCCCCAGTCAGGCAGACTCTACATGTTGCTTGGCTCACTGCTGTGAACCAGGATCACGCAAATTTTGGGTTGGGGGCCAAAGCTGAGACTGAGCTCATGAGTTCATGAACTTTAAACTTTTTGGGAAGACCATTTTAGTGGTAATTATAAAGTTTGGACTGTTTTTGGGCCATCCACTCAGCCAGTGAGGAGATAGGGGCGGTTGATATACGTGACGGAAACCCACAAACTATGTTTGAACATTCGACCCATGGCGGCAAGGGGGGAGCATGGCCAGCGTTTGCCGTTGGATCTCCCTAAAAGAGATCCCAAGGCGGCTTCGTCTCAAAAGGGGCGAACTCTGGAGAAACTTGGCCATGGTTAAACCACCTACTTGGTGCGTTGGGCTCTTTTCCGAAGGCAATCCTCCTGGGGCAAAACAGGGAATCTTACCTCGAGAGCCCTTTGACAGGATATCCAGACTTCAATGATGCTTGGGGGGGAGCATAGCTAGGTCCCCCAGTAGTGCTCTTTTACCCTTGTTTGGGGGAGGGTTCCCCTACTAAAATAGACCACAGAAAAGGAGTACCCTTATTCTTGGAGAGCCTAGATAGGGAAGTTCACCTGAAAACTGTTTCGCCTGCCCTGAGCATCAAAATTCGAACCCGGGGCCCATCCGGATTGGTTTGAGGGATCATCGGAAGGGCCGGTTTGGTTGCCTCAAAACGAGATGCCTTTTTTGAGGTAGTATTCTTAGGGTGCTGCAAGTGTCTTTTTCTGGCGTGGGTTGACATCACACCCCAAACAAACTTGCTGGTCAGAGGGAATGAGCCCAAGCTGAACCTTCCCTGGTTCGTTTACTGATATGCTAAGCGGCTTATTCTCACCCGCTTTTTTGTTGATTGCCTAGGACCAGTGAAAAAAGTGTGTGCGTGTATGGGTGTGTCTGTGTGTGTGTGTGTGCGTTTATTTGTTTGAGTCGGTACCCTTTTGCAGGCTGGTTGTTCAAGGGAAAGGCGACAAAAGCAAACCGAAGCCACAGAAAAGAAACGTTCGCTTAACAGAAAGCCGCCGGGTACCGAAGCCTTTGACCATAGGTGTCCTTTTTGGTTGTCTTGCCGAGTCTTGCTGGAAAAATAGATGGCACTGGTTTACCTGGTGGTTTTTTCTCATCTACCAGGGAACCCCATCTATTTCCAATAAAAGCACACCTATGCCCAGCTGACGCAAACCAAATGGCCCGCCGCTCCGAGGCTGGGCGAGGAGTGGTACTTTGACACCATGAACCTGCTCTTAGATCGCCCGGAAGCTCAGGAGAATAAGCAAGCGGCGGTTGGTTCGTCCAAGTTGTTTTTCTTCTTCTTCTTCTTTTTTGTATGTTCTCTTTTTGTTTCTTCTTCCCGTATCTTATCGTAGTCCCGTAAACAAAATAAACAACAGTTGTTGTTTATTATTATTATTATTATGATGATTATTATTATTATTTCGTATCTCATCGTAGTCCCGTAAACAAAATAAACGGAGACCTGGTCAGGTTCCTCTTTTTGGAGTTATGCAGGGGGAAATAATGCGAGCCCTGCAAAGAAGCCGGCTGACCAGTTGATCGGTTGACCTGACGGTTTAAAAGGATCCAACCCTGAGCCTGCCCAACCCTGCACCTGTTTTTGGTTCTCCATTTTTTACCTGGCTGGGTCCCGAAAAAAGGTTGGGGGTCAACAAAGACCGGTGGCGATGGCTTCAGGCGATGCACAAGATGTCGTATTGAACCAAACGAAGGCCAAAAGGAGCCCAAGCCCGGTGAGGGAAGCACCCTTTCAAAACCAAATGGAAACTGAAGGGTTACTTACGATAGTGGTTTGCCTGGGATCTGGGAACTTTGGTGTCCTCTCCATTGAGACACATTCCGAGATCCAACAGATCCCAACAAGGATTCTGTTTGAACTACTTGCAAATTCCCGTACATCAAATGGGCAACCTTGGCTACACGGTCTCCAAAGGCAGAGCGCAGCAAACATGAGCGGGTTTTGCGGTGTGTAACCAAATATGGAGCCTCAACCTTTTTTCTTTTCTCGATTGTCAACTGGTTTGTTTTCAAGTGACCTGGCTATGTCTGACAGGCTCCGGAAATTGGACCGGGCCCTCTCTGATTTTCGGGGATGCCTGTAGACCATCCAACTGCCCCAAATTGTCGTCTGAAAAATGGGGTTTGGGATGACCACTTGCTGTGAGTGGCCAAGGGAATCCCCTAAGTGATAAACCTTGGGGATGGCCCACTTTGGTATCACAGAAAAGGCTGCTTTTCACAGCCATGAGACTGCTGTGGCTGACAAGGTGCTGAAGAGTGACAATTCAAAAGGTGGTGGCTTTTGTGTGTTTCCCTTTAAAGAAGACGTAAAAAGGGTGCCCTCAACAAAAACATCCACCCATATATCCGGCACCGCAACATTGCGCAAATATTATACTTCAAGTTGCTCTCATTTCCCCCAACATCGGCTGCAGGTTCTTATACTAGGTCCCGAGTAGTGCCCTCTTACCGTTTTTGGTGGGAGGGATCCCCTACTAAAATAGACTATCAAAAAAGAGTACCCTTATTCTAACTTCTCTACGGTAGGACCTAGTTATAGGTTTTAAGCTGCCCAAGCTTTCGTGTCACAAAAGGGAATCCTGTCATTGATGGCTGCAGAGGAAAATCAACAGAAACTGCCTGCTAGGATCCGATTTGAAGGAGTTGCTGTGGATGCAACAGCAAGCAACGCCGGCAACCAGCAGCTCCCAGTATAGTCGGTAAGCAGCCACGTTCCTTTTGGTTTTTGAAGGGTGGTTCCCCCCTGTGGTGGGGGATGGCTAGGGGGGTCGATGGCTCTCACCCCCGCCCCCCTGTGGGATACGCCTGCCCCCCTGTAGGAGTGGGGGGTGGGGTCTATAGTGAGTGCGTTTGCCACTGGCGCGTTGCAGCGCACTTGGTTAACACTTGGTTGCGGCGCTGCAAACCACAAACAGCGTCATGTCATCGCGCACTGTCACTTGCGACAGCGCTGCAGCTTGTCGCGTGCTGCGAAATGAGCAAATCTCACTGCAGCGCAACACACGAACAGCGCCGCAAACGCGCCCGCATCGTCGCGCGCACACTGGAGCAAGCCCTGCAGGCTTTGCCCCTTGTGTGGGATGGGCCATGCCCCCCCTCCCCCGGGGGTGCTGGGGACGACGGGTGGAACATATATATGCTCACACTGTGCTACCTTTTTGACTGAGCATGACCATTGGGGGGGGGTGGGGGGGGGCTGGGGGGGGGTGGGGGGAGGGGCACCAAGGAAGACATAAGGAGATGGAAGCACTGGGCTGTAAAAAGACCGCGGAAAGCCACTTGCGGCACTCACTTGAGAGTCCCACGGAAGTCCCATGGGCATCTATGACGTGAGGCTGGGATGACTTGTATCTACCCTGGTCCAGCGCAAGCTGCAGATTGGTACTATGTGCACACTCGCCAAGACCAACTGGGCGAGCAACCATTCCAGCGGCCCCAACGAAAAGCAAGCAGGCGTGTACTTGGTCTCGATCCTACTGTGACTGTCTGACTGACTTGGACATCGCCAATGCTGTGTACAAGTTGATGTAAACTTATGTGAGGCTTGTTACGAACTTCCTGATTTGTCTATGGTCAATTTGGGAGAAATGGACGAGCTCGACATTTCAAAAAACCCGGGCCTGAATCGTTCCATGTCCTTTTCCATGTCCTTTAGGGAAACAATGGGGTTTCTCTCAAATGTGTGGTTTCCCTCAAAAAGAGACACACCCAAATAGTTCTGACCGTGGCTCATGTAGCGGGACTCCTTCGCTGGCGCGGCCGGCCGTCGGGCTAGGCTGGGGGCCCTCCCACGTGCAGTTCCTCAGGAAGAAGTTCCTGGAGGACGGAGCAGATGTTGAATCACCCCTCGGGTTCCCTTTGAACCAAAATGAATTCAGGGTACCGTCAAAATCAAGAATCCTGCGTGCGCTATATTTTTTATTGTTGGTTTGGGCCAATCAAAAGTGAGTTTTCTCCTGGAGGGGATGTTTCAGTGAACATGTAGGGAGGCCTGGAATTGCAAGGGTTTGAGGAATGAACCGTTTGGGATCACTTTCTGAGCTTCCTGGATTTTACTTTTTGCGAAGACAGTTTTAGTTTAGACTACGATTGGCGAATCCATTCAGAACATCTCGACTGATTCGGAGCCATAGAAAAGGGAGACCCACGGGAAATGACAACCCTTAATGGGCATGAGTGGCCCCTGGTCGCCAATAGTGCCTAGTCCCCATCGGGTTGCAATGGTTCGTCTTATGGCTCCAAATCCGCATCTCCTGAACATACGCAAGCGAAACACTACACACAAGCAACCCACAAAGAACAACAGTACACAACAACCAACATGCACAGAACACACACACACACACAAAACACGAAGCAACCCACAAACACTAACTTTGGGTCAGCATGGGTTTGGCATGGTTTGGCCAGTTCCCGGTAGCTTTTCCTGGCTAAGAGTTGAACATTTGCGTGCCCGATGGGGATTTCAACCGTAGCATGACCCAAAGTACCAGGATTGATTGTGACTCAGATTGGGATCTTGGGCGCCTTCAGGCCACAGGCACGGGGTTCAGCAAGTGCGATAGCCCTAAAGACTCCTTGCCAAAAGTCTGCCAGGGGTTTTCTGGCCAATCTTTACGTGGCCCTCCCCTCACCTGCTTGTTGTCCATTTTTGGCACGGGCAGGGGACATGCACAATTCCATGATTGACATGGCTGTGGCTCAAAGTTCAACAGGAGGGGTTACGCAGGTTTTGGTCCATGTTTCCACTTACCAGGGTTCCATTTTGGTACCGGTTTTTTGAGCCACAGCCACATAGACTTGTGTGGCCTTCTGCAAACATTTGTGACCGAATCAGATTTTCCATACGACGCTTATTGCTCGTCAGAGAATAGGAGGCTTGCAGTGGCGCCTGGTTTCAGAGATCTGAGACACCGAACCCAGGTTTCCCGAACAGGTTTCTTTCCCCTGCCCACGCCTTTCGTTCCAGGCCACTGGGGATGGCGAAGAGGAGCTGGACAAGATGGGCTTCTTTCGCCTCTTTGCGGAGTTGCAGGACTCCTGGAAACCGCCGAGGGGTGACAAGAGAAAGCAGATGTTGCTACGAATGATGGTTGAAAAGAAGCCCTGGACTAGTCACGGAGTTGCTTCCGTTTTTACCGATGGTTGGTCCATGGTGTTTGTGTTTGTACGACGAAGGGAAACCCTTCGGAATGCACAACAACTGGTGTGGTTTTTCACGTGGTTTCCCTTCAACTCACCCTGAAAAAACTAGAGACCCATACTCCTGCCAAACCACGCACATGACAGTTCGGACAGAGACTTGCAGAGCCCCAAAGACCCCCAGGCCTTATACGCCAGTTGAAGGTTCCCAGTTCTGAAACTGCTAGCTGGGTCTCCACCACTATTTCGTATTTCCGGGTAGACGTAATGTGAAAAAGAGAAGCTGAAAGTAGTATATTTCTGTGTATGTGGGCCGGGGTACCTGCAGTTGCGTGGATGCCACTCCTAAAGTTCCGTTCTACTTGACGGCGTGCCCACTAAATTAAAATGGTTTCGACCTCAAATCCAGTTTTGGCTGGTGGGAAACAAAAGGAAGCCAATCATTTAGCGGGGTGTCTGATTTTTGAGATCAGCCTACATGCATGCTTGGTAAACCTCGGTGTGCTTGGCTGCGCATGTGTCAGCGTGCAAATAAGTGGTAGGATTCACTTGGCTGCAGCCTACTTGTCAGTCCCCCAATTAGCAGCTGACATGGGCCTAAGTCATATAACTGAGATGCCTCCCAGACGCCTCCAGCTGTGTCTGCCGACACCCCTGCGTGTCCTTTGAAGTTCCCCTGTGTTAAGCCGAGTTCCCCCGAGTTGCCTTTATTTCCGTGCACTTCCCAGTACCCCTTTATTGTTGCTTTACTTCCTAGTCATGGCCCCTTCATTTTTCAATTTCCTCTCATTTCCTTGTCCTTTTTCCCTTCATTTCCCATGCATTCCCCTTCATTTCCCTCCTACATCTCCCTTCGTTGCCGTTAATTTCCCCTTCATTGTCTTTCATGTCCCTTCTTCGTCCCTGCATTCCCCCTTCATTTCTTGCTCCTTTCCCGTCATGCCCATTTCAGTTCTCCTTTGTTTCCCTTGCATTAACCCTTGATTTCCTGTTCACCGCCATTTCCCCTCCCTGATGTCCCCTGTATTTTTCTTTGCATTTCCCTTGCATTCATTTCCCTTCATAGTCCCCCTTCTGTACTTCCCTGCACTGTTCTGCATGTCCCATGTCCCCTGTATATACCCGTCATTTCCGAGCACTGGTCCCAGTGATTCCACACCACTGTAAAGTAGGTATACCCAAGGGCACAACCGTTTAAAAGATGGTGAAGGGTTGCCTACAAAAGTGGTTTGCCTGGGAAGGACTGGGGTAAACATATAGCGAGCAGCAATATGGGCATGTTGTGTTTTAAACATAGGTGTCCTTTTTGGTTGTTTTGCCGAGTTTTGCCGGAAAAATAGATGGCACTGGATTACCTGGTGATTTTTTCTCATCTACCAGGTAAACCCATCTATTTCCCCTAAAAGGACACCTATGGCTTTTAAAGGTACCCTTGTTGTGTGGCTCCTTCCTTTGGCACGCCCTTTTTGGTAGGTAGGGCCCAGATTCGCCTGGAAGGCACCGGGCACGGCAATTTTGGGGATTCAGGTAACCACCAACGACTGAGGAGGTTCCTTCTTGAAAGTTGGTACTTCTCCGGAATTCCTCCATTTGCTGAAAGGAAGATGTTTTTTGTTTTCATTATTTTCCCTTGGTTTTCAAAAGAATTCATCACTGCCTTTGTTTTAGTATTTTTTCCTGGGGCCTTAAGCAAATGGAAGAATTGGAGGCATTTGACACTTCCTCCAAACTGCTGAAAGGGAAGCTTAGTGGAGGGAGCCCCGGATGCGGCAGCCCGCAGCTTCTTTCCCTGCAGGACATGCCTTCCTCGGTGTCCGAGAGTGCCTTCCGCATGTTCGACGCCGACGGGTCCGGGAAGCTGCCAGGGCCTAAGCCCGGAGCGGGCCCGGAGCGGGCCGATGCAGCAAGGTTTCAACGGGTACGCCTGGGGTTCCGCGACCATTTTGACAAAAAAGTGGGGTTTAAAAGGAACCATTGTGTACCCAAGTGTCACTGGTAGCCATAAACTGGGTCAGCCATTGTTTCCCATTGTTCCCGTTGTTCGTCTAAATTTGAATACAACCGTCGTTTGCCTAAGTGGGCCACAATCAAAACCCGGGTAGATGAACGTTGGTAAGGGACAATCCCAACCATAAATAGTTGCGGATATCCGCCTTCTTAATTCTTGAAGTGTGGTTCTGGGATTACGACCATTTTGATACCGAATCGGTTTTGAGAAAGTGACTCAAATGACCATGGGTAGCTTTTCCCATTTGGTGGGACACATCAAATCTTGAACCAGTGTTTTCCCCAATGGTAGGGCTACCTTCCCCAGTCGTTCCAAAGAATGGCTAGGTCCCCCAGTGCCCTTTTACCCTTTTTTGGTTGGGAGGCTTCCACTACAATAGACAAAACCGAAAAAAGATCGGGTGCCAACTTATTCTAACCTCTCAAATTTGGAGGACCTAGATGGTGTCATCCTGGGTAGACCAAAACCTGTGGTCCAATTCCTGGTATTTTTTTGACCCATCCCCACATTCTGGGTCAACCATGTTATTTACCGGGTTTTGATCAGACTTAGATGGTGTCATCGCACCATCACCCCAGACCTGGGCACCGGAAGCCGCTCAGGAACTTCAAAGAGTTCTGCTGCGCCCGGCGCTCGAGTTCAGTCGATGCTGCGATGCCGTCTCCGGGTGGTCGAAAGTCGCTCTCTTTTCGTTGGGGTTCTTCAGCGGACCACAAAAAAGGCGGGGGTTCCTGGTTTTGTTTGTTCCGTTTTTGAAACCACAAAGCACGGGACCTTGAAAGGCACACGCACACACCATCCAATGCGCACGACTGGTGCGAGATGGAGATCCTTCATCTACTGTACTTGAACCTAGGGATGGTTGATTATCCCCAAAAGGGTTTGTCAAATAGAGGAACCCCAATCTAGCGGAGCAATGGCCGGCGGGGGTTCGGCAGGCGGGCAAATGATTCCAAGCATGACAGCTGTGCGGGTCTCTGTTGGAAAAGCTATTTGTACTATTGTACCCGTTGTTTGTGGCTGTTATATATATATATATATATACTATATATATATATACATACAACGTTGCATTGTTACACATAACACTGCGCAATTCATCTCTTACCTAAAGGCCCAGGACTGCCACGCTACATGGTTTACGTATATAACGTTGCATTGTTACACATAACACTGCGCAATTAATCTCTTACCTAAAGGCCCAGGACTGCCACGCTACATGGTTTACGGCGGGTAGGTGGCCGGGGGGGTTGCAAGCGCCGCAACAAGTTCCACCCGCAGCAAACACACACCACCTGCCTAGTTTTCAGCTGAGGCCCAAATGAAGCACCGGCAAACTACTTCGTTAATATTTACACAATGGTCAAGTACAGTTACTCCAGCACGACTGCATGAGCTGTTTGCAAAAGCAACCCGGCGTCATAGCACCCCCACCGCGTCGCCACATGAACTGGGAGCCACGGTTTTGATGTTTTCAGTGCTCCACTCACCTTTGTCTACCTGACGTGGCAATGCTTTGGGAACAAAATCCTCGAAACATCTCCACAAACGGTCGGCCGGTTGCGTCCCCGCTATTCGGGACACGCCCTGAGTGGCCCAAGAAAAGCGGTGCCGGTTGACGTGATCCGACAGGAGAGCTCAAGTCTAGATGCTGGGTCACATCAAATCCATAGGCAAGCTCGAGAACGGTCAAAGGCGCGCGAGCATCGCATGGCGGATATTCATTCTGCATGCACATAGTTCAAGGGGAGAACAGCGCGCGGAAGTACGACGAGCGGTTCACGTTTGAAGGCCCTGCGCTTCCAGCAAGATCCACTATGTCCATTTGGAGCCGAGAGCAATCAGACATGTTAGGGTTTCTCTTCAGGCAGTCTCCGTCAGGCAGCCCTAAGAATGGGACCTCAACAAGGGCCATTCATGTTGAGGTTCTTTTCCTCACCCTTCCAATCGTGATCCCGGAAAGCCCCCTCCAGAACTTTGCTGCGGACATGGCCATGGGTCAAAATCCAAATCGTACCCCCAGTGAACATCCCAATCCAACCACTAAAATAGGTTCTAAAATGGGTGAATTCACCTACCAACCAAAATGGGAGCAACCATAACGGTTTTGACAACAGCCATATGGTGTCGGCCCAGGTCTTGGGGGGTTTTGAATGGAGATGCTCGTGGTTGAAAGCCTTTGATGTTCGCCCGAAGTCGCATTTTCGCAGGTGCTACATGCCCAAAGGGACATCGGCCAAAGGGACACAACACAAACGGAAAATGCCAAATCCCATTTTGTTGTTGTGCTTGGGCATTTTTTGCATAATCTGTAATTTGCCCAAAGGGACACCAAGAAAGATGGAGTTCCGCTCCCACCGACAAGCATGGAACCTCGCTGGAGGGGAAGGTCTTGGAGCGAGTCTAGAGTCGCCAATGTTGGCCCTCCGTTGGACATCAATAAATTTGGAAACCTTGATATGTCCAAATGCTCAAAGGCTCACGACTGCCTTTGGCCGTCAAAAAGGGTGCTTCAAAAATTGGTAGAAAACAAAAGGTTACCTGTCAAACGATCCTTTAAAATGGTTGACACCCGAAGATGTTGTTTGGTTGCAACCCACGCGAAGCTTCTTAATTGAAGGCACAAAAAACTTGTTTTTGGGAATCACTGCCCCCAAAAAGAAAAAAGAAAACACTGAGCCAGAATCAAAACCTGGGTAGATCAAGGTTAGTAAGGGACGATCCCAACCACACATAGCTGCGGATATCCGCCTTAGTTCTTTACATGGTTCTGGGATTGCGACCATTTTTGATCCCGAATCGGTTTTGAGCCAGTGACTTCTCTGGGGATCAAACAATTCCACCTCGCCCCCCCAAAAAAAAACAGAAAACCTCTCCCTGGACCCTCAAAGTACCCATGAAAAGGGGAGAGCACCCCATAAATTTTGGGGGGTCAAACCCCTTTTTAAGTGGAGGGTTCAGGTCATGTGATCCGCCATGCGATCCGAGGCGCTGGCTCTGTGCTGTCAGCTCATGTCCTCGGAGGACGAGAAGATCCGCTTCGTGCACCTGGGCCGAGATGTCGTCAAATCCGCTGGATCCAAAGTTTTTCGGGGGGGGGGCTGGGATGGGTGAAATTCACCCATTTTAGGAGCTCCTATTTCAGTGGCTGGATTTTTGGGGATCCCATTTTTGGATTGGCTTGGGGGAATTCACCGCCCATTTTTGGAGTTCCTATTTTAGTGGTTGGATTGGATCGGATGAACACTGGGGCTATTTGACCCATGGCCAAGTGGGATGCGACTCATTCCCAAAGCCGAGGCCCCAAAGGACTAAATAATTTGTGTGGTCGGCAAAGGATGTCGACTTGGCGGAAGTTCAGCCAGAAGAACTACCTGGACCCTCAAACTACCCATGAAAGTTGGATATCACCCCATAATTTTGGGGGTCAAACCCATTTTTAAGGGAATTTTGAGGGTTCAGGTAGGTCCATTGTCAGTTCGATTTCTTGGTTGAACACACCTTGACAATCATCTTGGAGCCCAAAGTCGATGGGTTTTGGGTTCAAAGGATCGAGCTTGACGTTTGTCTCCCCGGTTGGGGCCACACGTGCTTACGCAAGGCAAGATTCGGCCCCCGCGAAGCAGCCGAAAGCAAATTGGTTTGAGCAACGGTGGCCTTTTTTGTCCAACATCTCAAGAGTCTTGGTACCTGAAAAGGGGCATTTATTTTGAGGTCCAAACCCTTCCAATGGAGAACCAGAACTCTCAAGAAGTGCCTTTTGCTGCCGTGTTTGAAGAAAAAGCAATGGTCGAGCCCTGAAAAATGACTTGAGTTGACGCAGGGAATGCAAAAGGCCCCAACCTGTGTGGCATCCTTTGATCAGCACAGGCTTCAGCCATAAGTTGCAAGAAGGAGATCCACGTCCCCAACCTGGGCTCGATCCCCGTTTACTTGTTATTGTCATGATAAACTAGGCATCCTTAAACAAACTAGCAATTTTGGCTGGCTCAATTCGGGGTCATTCGTTGTTGCCCTTGAACCCTGTCTGAAAATGAGTACCCTCAAACAAGCAATCAGCAAGGCACCAACCAAGCAAACACCCAAACAACCAACCAACCAACCAACTCACTCACAGATTGCAGGCAGCCTTTCACACCAACCAACCCAAGCCAAACCAATAAGCAAACCAAACCCAACCAAGCCAAACCAAACCAAACCAAACCAAGCAAGCAAACAATGCGAGCAAACAAACTAACAAGCACAAACAAACAAGCACGCAAACAAACAAACAAACAAAACAAACAAACAAAAAACAAAAACAAACACAAAATCAAAACAAAAAAAAACAAAACACACAAATAAAAAACAACCAACCAAACAAACAATCAATCAATCAATCAATCAATCAATCAAACAAACAAACAAGCAAGCAAGCAAGCAAGCAATCAAATAAAAACAAACAAACAAACAAACAAACAAACAAACAAACAAACAAACAAACAAACAAACAAACAAACAAACAAACAAACAAACAAACAAACAAACAAACAAACAAACAAACAAACAAACAAACAAACAAACAAACAAACAAACAAACAAACAAACAAACAAACAAACAAACAAACAAACAAACAAACAAACAAACAAACAAACAAACAAACACACAAACACACAAACACACACACACAAACACACAAACACACAAACACACAAACACACAAACACACAAACACACAAACACACAAACACACAAACACACAAACACACAAACAAACAAACAAACAAACAAACAAACAAACAAACAAACAAACAAACAAACAAACAAACAATCAAACAATACGAGCACGAAACAAGCAAACGTGTTGAGTGCCTCGATAGGTTCGACATGTTCGACACCAACGACGACGGCCTTCTTAGCACCTCGGAGGTAAGGCAGTTGGTCGAGGCCCTGCGAGAGGACGGGAAGTTCTCGCGCCGATCGTCGACAGGCAGCAGCCGGTGAAGTTGTTCTAGGGTTTGATTCCCCATTCGTTCCCACCATCGCAGCTGCTTGTCCTGGGTGTTTGATGGTTTTCTGAAATATAGGATCCCTGCAAAGAATGGAGAAGCTTCCCCTAGTTTGTTTTTTCTTTTCTTTTCTTTTCCGGTGTTTGACTGGGGTTTTTAGAAGACAACTGTTGTAATTGACAATGCTCGGTCATTGATTTCAGTTCCCCGGTTTGGTAGGTAACCGAGGGGTTTCAACCACCCTGACCTACTATATCTGGGATCTACCTGAACCCTCAAAATTCCCTTAAAAATGGGTTTGACCCCCAAAATTATGGGGTGATATCCCATTTTTATGGGTAGTTTGAGGGTCCAGGTACTAGGATGTGTTTGATATCATGACTGGTCTTTGGCAGGACTGAATCGCCGAGAGGCCTTGCGGAAATGAAGGGTGTTTCCATTCAGCCTACAGTCTAACGGCCTGTCGCTCAGAAAAAAAAGACGTCCAATCAAGTTCGAGCTTGCTTTTTTCCCAACAACTGGAAGCTATAGGCTCTTTGCCCACATTAGTTCCGGAGTGGTTCAGAGCGGCTCTGTGAGGCTTCTGGAAGGTTCCGGGGGCTTCTGTTGGGATATCACCCGGGCTGTTGATTGGATTGGCCGCAAGCATCATTGGGCCCTCCATTGAAGCAGGAAAGTGGTTGTCCATTCGAAGCCTTCTCCAAATACCCCGCTTCTCCAAATACCCGCTTTTCAGGGTATTTCGGTATACTGTATACTGTTTTTTTCATAGTGCATCCCTCCTTTTGTGTCTGGGGTTGGCACATGATACCCGAACATTGTCGTTATTGGGTGGTTTGAACATGTTCAAAGTTGGCCAGCCCTTCAACTTCATCTTGATTTAGGCAGGGAGTGGGTGACGTTGTTTCCTTGAGGGTATCCCTACTTGTTCATTCCTAACCCATTTGGGATGTGGGTCCACCCCACAAGTTTCCTCTAGGGGAATAGCTTGGAAGAAGAGAGGGAACCCCCTGCTCACTTCCATGAGTGTTGGTTAGAAACGGCGCATGCGCAGTGGTGGCCCATCGCCAACTTGGCTGGCGGCACCGTGTTCAAGAACGTTATATACAGGTTGTTCATCGGGGACAGCGACTTCAACTCAACACTAGGTCCTCCAGATTAGAGAGGATAGAATAAGGGTACCAACTTTTTTCTGTAGTCTATTTTAGTAGGGGAAGCCTGCCAACCAAAAAAGGGGTTCAAAAGGGCACCTAGCTGGGGCACCTAGAACCAGTTCGGCATCAGCACCAAGAACTTCCCGAACAACGCCGGCATGGACAGGTGAAGTTATCCCCAACGCTCCCGATTGGTTTGGGTTGCCTCAAGGGGTCCTCCGAACAGACCCTTTTTCGAACATTTCTATGGGTTGTCCATAAAGGGCTCTGCATTAGGTCCAGGGGCATGAGTGCATTTTACTAGGGTTTTGAATTTTGGATTGTAAACCAGCACAAGGAAGGTCCTTTGTGGCCACCCATGTCACTCAACATCTCCAAATGTGTGCAACCTCGACTCGTTGGTTGGGTATGGTACCGTACAGATAGTGGGCCCCAAAACTGGTGTGTTTTGTGTTGGTTTCCATTGAAAGCCAGATGATGATGATGATGATGACGATGATGATGATGATGATGATGAGGATGAGGATGATGAGGATGAGGATGATGAGGATGAGGATGAGGATGAGGATGAGGATGAGGATGAGGATGAGGATGAGGATGAGGATGAGGATGAGGATGAGGATGAGGATGAGGATGAGGATGAGGATGAGGATGCGGATGCGGATGCGGATGCGGATGCGGATGCGGATGCGGATGAGGAGGCGGTTGAGGATGAGGATGAGGATGAGGATGAGGATGAGGATGAGGATGAGGATGAGGATGAGGATGAGGATGATGAGGATGATGATGATGATGATGATGATGATGATGATGATGATGATGATGATGATGATGATGATAGTCTTAATGTGCAGTACGCGAACGCAGAGGTGCTGCACAGCGAAAGCCACCTAAGGTGGCAGCATTGGCCCAGAGGCCCAACTCAATCCTGGTCATGGGTACCTTGAAAACTTGCTACTCACTTTCTGCTTGTGATAAGCCATTGACACCGAAGGCGAGTTCTCGCCTTTGACGACTTCGGCGAGTTGTTTTTGCTCTCGTTTTTTCCGCCCAGGAGAAATCCACCGACGAGGCGATACGGCAGGCTGCCGGCTCGGCCCTTCGGGAGTTGGACCGAAAGTCGACTTTCGGGGGAAACCTACTTGGATGTTCTACCTATGACCAGGACAATGGATGTATCTATATGCTCACCCCCCCCCCCCATGAACTACCTTTCCTGCACTGCAAGCCCTCATCTGCACTCAAATTTGTCATCTGTTTCAACACTTGTTTGATACACTGCAGGAAAGGTAGTTCATGGGGGGGGTGACCATTTATATATATATATACCTGCACGCATGTATTCATGTATTTCTTAGAGATTATGTATATATATATACATATATATGTATTGGGTATATGCATGGCTGTATGTCAATCAAGCCCTGTCTGGCAAATAACCATGGTTGTAGCCTACTACGGTTGAGGTATCCCCCAAATGTGTGGAAGGGAGGGGCGTAACCATTTGCATTTTGTTGCCATTGAAAAACTGGGGATGGCCGCCATTAGGTCGGTTGGTAACATCTGAGAAGCTTTGTGCTTGGCTACGATGCGATGTACCTGGCAGGTTCCATGTTGGGCACTGTGTACTGGGCCCCTCTGACCTCAGCTACGCAAAGTGTCGATGCAAACCAGGATAAGCGACCCAAAAGCACTGCCTGAGGTCTGCAGAAAGGCGAGTGTTACAAGTCAGCGTACACACCAAGCAATACATGAAGAAGTTGCACAACCTAAGGAAGACTGCCGTAATGGTCTCAGTTTGGAGCACCCCTTGCCGCTGGTGTTCTCCACAGGATTCCTCTGCTTTTGTGGAGTATAGCTCTTAGCAACTCTGGTTGTACATCTTCTAAAGACTTAGAATAGGTTATTTGCTAACCAGCGTTACCAATCAGTGGACAAACCTGATCCTGGAGTATCATTTTACGTGAAAGCAGATGGCACCAGTACACCCTTTTTTTGTCTAGATTGTGTCATCCCCTGTACTTACCCGAGCAACGAATCATGTGCTATGGACTTTCACCGACTCGAATCTGGTCATATTTGTGGCTCATCTAATTTGGAGGGTATGGTTTTTGGAGTGGATCTACAGGGACACCAAGAGGAACCACGCATCTTGGGAGTGGCCCTATTTTAGGACACCGGTGAAGCAGAACAGAGCGAGTGCTGCAGATGGCAACCGAGAAGTAGGAGAACTGGATTGTGGGAGAAATTTCTGGGTCAACACACACACAGTTTTTACACTAGGGTTCACCCCTGACCTTCCATTTGCTGCAATGAATATGTGCTATTTTCCACTTTTGGTTTTAAAGGGAACCTATCACTACCGGATTTGTTATTTTTATTTTTTCCAGGGGCTCAAGCAAAGGGAAGCAAAGAGTTGTCCATCCTCCATGTTTTTTGGAGAGCTGTCCATTTTCTGTGTTTTGGGCCGGCCGATTGGTAGAGAGAGTTCTGGATTTCGCATGCGCAAGCCGACCGCGCAGGCCGGGCATCGCTCTAGCCGCCGCATCTCAGAGGTGAAGCAGGAGAGATTGCATCTGAGTTCCCAGACGTCCAGTGGGTGCCTTTGGTCTCTATTTTTTGTGATGTTACAACTAGGTTTCCCAGTAATTAGTGCCTTTTTGCCCTTTGTTGGGAGGGGTCCCCTACTAAAATAGACTACAGAAAAAAGGGTACCCTTATTCTAACCTCTCTACTGGAGGATCTAGGAGTTCACCGACACCGGCTTGGAGATTCCCAGACCTCCAGTGGGTGTGTTTGGTCTTTTGTTTTTTGATGAATACAATTCTGTCCTTGTTTCTTTTCCCGGTTTCCATTGTTTCTTTTTGTGCGAGTTGGGTTCCCTTTGCAAAAACAAAAAATGGAGTGCACATTCAATGTGTTCTAGCTCTTGAGAGGGATGGCAAAGCACCCCCGACTTCCAATCCAAATCTAGAGAGGGAAGCTGAACCATGATGCGCATCCTTTGCTTGGGATCCCTCCCTTGTTAGTTCTTGCGAATGTCGGCGTTGCCCATGGCACAACTGCCCGGTACAACAAGTCATGAAGTTTGCCTGTTGATGTCTTGGGGGTCCCTTTATTTCACTTGGTGGCTCTCAGCCATCCCCTTAGCTTTTTAGATGTTTTTTGTAATTTGGTGGGGTTTTCCATCTAGCCCCTATAAAAGTTAAGCTTTTAGGTCCATGTAGGCGGCCGCTTCAGGGTTGCCAATTGGGAGACCCAACCCCAAACAGATTACCCCAACCGGATCACCCGAAACGGGGGACCCACCCCAAGGGAACCAGAACAAAACCCAACAAAACCCCGACATAGCTCTTGACCGCGAAACCCAGCGCTATTAATCTTCAATTGCGAACAGCCTCACAAGCCCCACCGAATGTTGATGTTCACCAAACAAATCCCTGTGAAAGTCCACCTGGACCACGACAGCTTTGCGCCGATTCCCACCGATTCTCTTCAAGCACAACTGCCCACTAGTGAGTCAGTGAAGGTTTGTTTTGTTCTTCTTCCCAGTTGATCCCAGGCGTTCTGCCACTATAGTAGTGGACCCTTCGATACATACTTGTTTTAAGGGTGGTTGAAATGTGTTTCTCATTTTACAGGTAAATGGATCCACAGGGCCCCGGGGGCTGCCTGTTTAGACCTTCTTTGTTGTTGTCGAAGTTGTTGTTTGATTGTTTCACAAATGTCCAGTAAATGCTGGCATGTCGAGGTCATAAGCTTGAGGCTAAAAATCAGGTTTTTACCCTTTCCCAGAGCCGAGCTTTTGACCTTTCCGTTTTCCGTTTTGGTGAATTAATCTTTCGGTTTCATAGCAATCTTTGAGGCCAAGAAGGAAAACAGGCCAAGTTGTTTCGCGGACTGATGCTGTTGTGGATTCCAAGCGGTTCATTTTCCTCATTTCTTCAGCGGAGGTGTTGTCCACCACCCGTAGTTTCCTTTAAGAAACTCCCTGGTGAGTTCCCAAAACCCTCCGACGACAAGTGTCGCCCCCCCTTCCGCAGGGCGCCACAGATTTCCCAGTTGTCACCCCGCGAAAAGGAGACTCGCTTGAAATGGGCAACCAAAAGGGGGTTCCATCTCTTAGATTTGAAAGCCCTTTTCTTTTGATTCAAAGCCATAGGCAGGCTGGGAGAACTTGGTGGACACCATCTGGGGAATTCTGTCCAGACGAAATCCTGCACCACTTTGAAACCATGGTTGAAATCATTGTTTGTAGTTATTCACAGGGGAATCATCATTCCAGGGTTTCTTAGGTGGTGCAGGATTTCGTCCATCCACAGAATCACTTAGGAAAAAGCTCTTTCCCCTTTCGCAGTTTGCCCGCGAGGAGCTTTTGGGCAACTCGCAGCCCCTGTCCTTCGATCGCTTTTACCAGCCCGGGACCGAGCGCATCCGAGACGGACGGGGCGAGTTTGGGTGGGGTGGGGTTTGGTTCGTTTCAGGTGGTAAGCATGGGCATGTTGATGGGGTTGACAGATCTAGAGTTGCATCTCAAATTGGTTTTGTTTGTCATGCGCTTGTTCTCGATATGCGGAGTATCTCACAACTTGAGAGGTTCTCAAACTTCGTTGTTGGGGTTGTTTGGGGTTGTTTGCCCTTTAATCCACAACTTTGCGGGTAATTTTGAGGATGTCACGCTTGAAGGGGCCCAGCTGTACCACTGAGCTGGTTTGGTGCAAAGGAACCCTTTCAGCATCTTTCAACAAAACGATGCTTGTCAAAGGCCTAAGTGCACGTTCATGTTGGTCAGATCGCAACCCGTGCAGTGTTTGTGCGGCTAAGTTGGCTTGCGTCTGCGCATTCGACTGTTGGTTCTGTGTTGACTCGAGCTTTTCACCGTGTCCATCTCAAAAGGGCTGGCTTTGTGGTTTCAGGGAGGCAATTTGGATTCTGCGGCTTGTGATTCCCCGGGAGGGCACTTTTAGTCAAGTCATGGGGCAAGCCCCATTTCAACACGTGCATTGTCCTGCTCCCCATTTTGTGGTGTTCGGGTTTGCGGAGCAGTCCAGGTCCTGGTCAGCTGCTGTCGCTGTTGTTCTTTTCACTCATCAGTCACAAAGAAACCACGTGGCCGACCCCCTGGCACTCAGGTTCCCTTTTGAAACCAAAAAAAACGAAGGTGTACGCCCCCTTTGTCAAGATTGGTAAAGAAAGCCACATGGATGACGGGAAAGGCCCAGTCCCCGTAACACTTGGCCGAGTAATTCGTGTGTCCCCGTTTTTCTTGTGGATCTCAGTTGCCTTTGTAGGTAACCAGGTATTTCCTTTGGTTTTTAAGAGGTCCTGGGTTCGCGCAATACCGGTAAATGAAGTCCATGGTCAAAGGGTCAAAAGAAGACTAAGCAATTGTCCGGCAAACGGACAAATCAGGGTTGTCACACTTGTCCTCAGGCAACCTTCCGATGATTGTTCGTCTCTCAACGTGGATTGTTTTTTCAAGGCCGGTCTGGTTCCGTTCCCGGAGATATGCCATCTCAAACAAGGCCCCCTCTAAAGCTGTTTCGGATGCCGTCCGGTGAAACTAGATGCCGCAATCTCCCCATACTGAAGTCACCTGTCCTTTCCAATGGAATGGTGCCATGCACCAACTTGCCCTGTATCTGGAGCTCTGCCAAGCTTGCAATGTTGACCCCACATCAATCAGCCGCAGTTCATTAACATGGGGGTGTTCCCTCCCAAAGTGGTCTGACTCCCCACCGAAACCAGCGAAAAGCAGCCCCCATATTAATGAACAGGGGTTGATTCATATAGTAGGTGGACAGAATTCCCCCCCCAGATGGAGTCCACCAAGTTCTCCCAGCCTGCCTATGGGAGAAAAGGGCTTTCAAATCTAAGAGATGGAACCCCCATAGAGTGGGTGGTGGATATACATCCAAGGGGCCAAGCCATGACACGCTGAGCCTGTCCCGTCCAAGGTGGGCCTCCAAGAATATGGACAGCGCGGGGCCGAGATCTCACCGCTCCACCGACTTTCGGGGAGCTTGGTTCTAGGTCCCCCATGTAGGTGCCCTTTTTTCCGTTTCTTTTTTTGGGGGGAGGGTTCCCCTGCTAAAATAGACTACAGAAAAACAAGCAACTTGACTCCATGCACTTGCAACTTGCACTTGACTCCATGCACTTGGCTCCTTGCACTTGGCTCCTTGCACTTGGCTCCTTGCACTTGCAACTTGCACTTAACTCCGTGCACTTGCGACTTGCACTTGACTCCATGCACTTGGCTCCTTGCAACTTGCAATGGCTCTCATGACTCCTTGCAATGACTCCTTGCAATGACTCCTTGCAATGACTCCTTGCAATGACTCCTTGCAATGACTCCTTGCAATGACTCCTTGCAATGACTCCTTGCAATGACTCCTTGCAATGACTCCTTGCAATGACTCCTTGCCATGACTCCTTGCAATGACTCCTTGCAATGACTCCTTGCAATGTCAAGTGCAAGTTGCAAGTGCAAGGAGTCAAGTGCAATTGACTTGCGAGGAGTTAAAATCTCTTCTTAGGGCGGCGGGGTAGTGCCGACGACACTACACGAAAATCGACCCTCTGCGGGGATCGGCGTGGTCGAGGTGCAAAAACCCATGGTTTTTTGCGATTTCTAACCTGCTCGCGCGACCCTCTGCGGGGATCGGCGTGGTCGAGGTGCAAAAACCCATGGTTTTTTGCGATTTCTGCTCGCGCGACCCTCTGCGGGGATCGGCGTGGTCGAGGTGCAAAAACCCATGGTTTTTTGCGATTTCTAACCTGCTCGCGCGACCCTCTGCGGGGATCGGCGTGGTCGAGGTGCAAAAACCCATGGTTTTTTGCGATTTCTATCCTGCTCGCGCGACCCTCTGCGGGGATCGGCGTGGTCGAGGTGCAAAAACCCATGGTTTTTTGCGATTTCTGCGGTGCTCGCGCAACCCTCTGCGGGAATCGGCGTGGTCGAGGTGCAAAAACTCGAGGTTTTTTGCGACTTTTGTTGTTCGAACTGGTCCTCGGGAGTTGTCTCGTGGTTCGCGCGCCTGCTCCCGGAACCGGCGGGTCGCGGGTTCGATTCCTCCCTGGTCCGCGGGCGGGCGTCGCAAGATGCAACTTGCATTTTACAGCAACTTGCGCAGAGCAACTTGCGCAGAGCAAGTTGCACAGAGCAACTTGCGCAGACCAACTTGCACCGACCAGTTTGCGCAGAGCGCCTTGCCTAGAGCAACTTGCGCAGAGCAACTTACGCAGAGCAACTTGCACAGAGCAACTTGCACAGAGCAGCTTGCACAGAGCAACTTGCAGGGAGCGCAATTTGCACAGAGCAACTTGCAGGGACCAACTTGCCGGAGCAACTTGCGCGGAGCAACTTGCGCAGAGCAACTTGCACAGTGCAACTTGCGTAGAGCAACTTGCGCAGACCAACTTGCACCGACCAGTTTGCGCAGAGCACCTTGCCTGGTGCTGTCTCGCGCTTGCTTCACGAAGTGTAGGGAAAAAGAACGCATCCTGCAGCGTTGGGCCGACCTCGCTTGCGATGTTCTGCTTTCGGGCCAACCGTGGTCTAGTTTTTTTTGGGGGGGGGGGGGCAATGGTAAAGCCATTGCATTCACCTTTGCTGCCACCGTACCAGTCAAACGGTTTCGGGGACAGGGCTCGATGGCCCCGATGTGAATCTGACTTTGTCAAGTCCCAAAGCATCCCATTGGCATTCGGAAAAGTGTGCCATGTACTCCCTTCTGGCACCAACATTTACCTACTCCCTTCTGGCACCAACATTTACCACGGGTTAAATGCGTGCGTGCGTGCGTGCGTGCGTGCGTGCGTGCGTGCGTGCGTGCGTGCGTGCGTGCGTGCGTGCGTGCGTGGGTGGGTGGGTGGGTGGGTGGGTGGGTGGGTGGGTGTGTGTGTGTGTGTTTTTCTCCGAGGCATTCAAATTATTTTCCCCAAGGGGACGTGTCAACCATCAGTGGTCATAGACGGATCCTGCACCGCAACAGAAGCAAACGAGGATGCCCCGCGCCTTAGAAGTAGGCTTATGTGCGGTTGGTATGTTCAATCTGGGCATGTAAGTAGGACCTTGCATACATAGATGACCGCGCAATTCATGCTTGAAGTTTCCTAGAACAGGGTTCTCAAAATTGGCCCTGCTGGAGGTGTTTCACATCACCGTTTGATGTGAGTTTGCCTTAGCTGGCGATGCTTTCAAAGAAAACCTTGGGAGACCTGTGGAAACCTTCAAGCAGAATGTAACGAAGGCACCGAGTCGCTGTTTCCTTTGTGGCTTGGAATGCCCAAATCGTCGGCTGCTCGCTTTGCACAACTCCGACTGCTCAATGCCCGGGACTGTGGCTCGCTTCCAGAGTTCCTGGACTTTAAACTTTTTGGAAAGACCATTTTAGTTGTAAACTTTAGCGGTACACTTTTAGTTGTAAACTTTACACTTTAGTGGTAAACAAAAAGTTGGGACTCTTTTTTGGCCCAGCGATTCAAGAAGAGAGGATTGGCGCTGTTTTTTTCGTGTTTTAAACAAGAAGGGCAGAAGTCACATGTTGAAACTTGGATTTCCCGGGTGCAGCTCTTCTCCAGGGCCTTCGATCGATTAAGGCCTGAATGACCTCCTCTGCACCTTTCAGCTGGACGGGGCTCTCAGAATTTCCAAACCCAAGCGGCAGTGTTCCCCCCCCCACCCACCCGCCGCGCTTCTGACGTACCAGCTCGGAAGCGTTCAACACAGAATCCATTTGGCTCAGGGTGTTCCACAAGGCTCGTCTGCAAGGGGGCCCGCAAAATGGGCGGTTCCCCTACTTCGCTTCAAAACCGGAATAAGGACCCCAAAAAAATGGGCGCACGGAGTAATTGCCGTGTCGCTTCTCTTGACTCCTTCTGCCGCCGCGACTCGCAAGGTCTCCTCTGGGATTGCCTAGCGCACCTGAGCAATCGACCAAATTCCAACCCTAAAAACCCAAAACACCCTAAAGAAGGAGGTTGAACCATGGCTATGTGTCAAGATAGGGATTTGGAGCCCCAGGACACGGGTCCTTGAAGCTTTTGTTTAAACCAGCCTCCAACTTTGGTAGCCTCAAACAACACATGTCCAACCCAAGGTGTTGGGAGTTGGGCTGAGTTGGACGTTGTTTCAGCCATGTTTTGGCACGCCCGGACGAATTTATGTCTTTGTGACACATCCGGCTGGCCTTGCGGTGGTATCACAGAAAAACATATTCCGAGCTGTTTGTCTTGACTGTTATTGGGTTGGATCTTTAGACTTCAACTTTTTTGGGGAAATGAAGGTGTTTTCCACTAAACCCCAAAACAAGTAAAACTTTTTGCAGGGGGTTCAACAGCAACCAAGTTTGTGGGTTGAGACCAAAGAGAAGATGGGACCGGTAGTCTGCTGCTGTTCCAAGCCTTACTTGAGCACTTGGCTCCATCCAGGACAGGCTTCCTGCGTTTGAGTCATGTTCCAGCATGTGTTTTTAGTTGGGTGGGGG